GCAATGAGAGAGAGGAGGAGGAGGGGGGGGGAGGAGGGGAGAGAGGGAGGGAGGGAGGAAGAGAAAGATGCAATAAACACAAATCAGCCATGAACCTGTGAAAACCTATTGGTGGTCTCTGCCGGGTGCCATGCGTCCACAGAGCCTGAAGTCAGATGAAGCCTGACAAGAGCCTATGGCCTGTGACTTGGCCCCTACCCACCTGGTCTTGTTTCTGACACATCAAACATGTATGATGGTCTATCAAAGATGAGAGGAAATTCATTTTCCGGGCTTGTTAGGATGGAAACGTAGATGCTATCTAAAAATGGAAATAGAAACAAATTAACATCACAACCTGCACCCATCTGTTCAGTGGGCGTTTTGAAAACATCTTGTAAGTTTGGGCTTGGGTACAGGTGAAGACCTGTCTCCAAGACACTAGATGGTCCTCTCCTCCGTTCCCCGACAACACAAATACAGGCCACTGTAGAACTGGAGGAAGAAGTTTGAGAAAAGCCTGACAAGGATTGAGAGAAGCAAATGGACCAGTATGAAAATGGGGACAGTGCGGGACAGTGCGGGACAGTGTGGGACAGTGCGGGACAGTGTGGGACAGTGTGGAGACAGTGTGGGACAGTGTGAGACAGTGTGGGACAGTGTGGGACAGTGTGGGAAAGTGTGAGGACAGTGTGGGACAGTGTGGGACAGTGTGGGACAGTGTGGGACAGTGTGGGACAGTGTGGGAATGTGGGGACAGTGTGGGACAGTGTGGGACAGGGTGGGACAGTGTGGGACAGTGTGGGGACAATGTGGGACAATGTGGGGACAGTGTGGAGACAGTGTGGGACAGTGTGAGACAGTGTGGGACAGTGTGGGACAGTGTGGGGAAAGTGTGGACAGTGTGGGGACAGTGTGGGACAGTGTGGGGACAGTGTGGGACTGTGGGGACAGTGTGGGATATTGTGGGACAGTGTGGGACTGTGGGGACAGTGGGGGACAGTGTGGGACAGTGTGGGAAAGTGTGAGGACAGTGTGGGACAGTGTGGGACAGTGTGGGACAGTGTGGGACTGTGGGGACAGTATGGTTACAGTGTGGGACAGTGTGGGGACAGTGTGGGACAGTGTGGGACAGTGTGGGACAGTGTGGGACAGTATGGGGACAGTGTGGGACAGTGTAAAACAGTGTGGGACAGTGTGAGACAGTGTGGGGACAGTGTGGGACAGTGTGGGACAGCGTGGGACAGTGTGGGACAGTGTGGGGACAGTGTGGGGCAGTGTGGGGACAGTGTGGAGACAGTGTGTGATAGTGTGGGGACAGTGTGGGGACAGTGTGGACAGTGTGGGGACAGTGTGGGACAGTGTGGGGACAGTGTGGGACAGTGTGGGACAGTGTGAGACAGTGTGAGACAGTGTGGGGACAGTGTGGGACAGTGTGGGACAGTGTGGGGACAGTGTGGGACAGTGTGAGACAGTGTGGGACAGTGTGGGACAGTGTGGGGACAGTGTGGTACAGTGTGGGACAGTGTGGGACAGTGTGGGACAGCGTGGGACAGTGTGGGACAGTGTGGGGACAGTGTGGGACAGTGTAAAACAGTGTGGGATAGTGTGGGACAGTGTGGGA